TTGTTACCAGTAGTTGTACTTTCCTTGAGCAGATGGTTTATTTTAATCTTATGAACACTGTGAATAATGTAATTGACAAGGGTTTCCTTTTTCTTCTGGCAAGTAGAAAGCTTAGAGCCAAATTAAAGATCCAGCCTTAGAAAGAGTATAAGTATGTATATATACTTGGCAGCATCGTTTCTGGTTCCACTCTGTCCTCATCCTCATTCTTCTCTCTTCCCTGGCCACTTTGAATTTACCCTAAATTTTAGAGAAGTGATTCAGAGAATCAGATTCTATACAAGCCAATTATGCTAACAACTGGGTCACAACAAGCAAATACCAAGTGGATGGGACCTGATGATCAGAATTGGCTGGCTTGAATATTTAAACAGACTCAGAGTTCCACAGACACGTGCACACGTGCTGGGTTTGGGGCCCAGTATACTGGGTTCAGGATACAGGTGCAGATCACCATCTTCAGGATCTACTTTTGGGTAATATGGAGTCTTACTGCAACAGCCAAACCATTTTATAGAAAAAAAGTAAGGGAAAGGAGAGGAAACAAGAAGGTATTATTTTCATATCCTTGTGCTCCTTTCTCCAGTATCTTTTAAATTTAGCTGGATAGTAGTTAAGAAACATTCTTATTTTTAAAGACATCCAGGATTGAGTAATTAATTCTAGCCACAACCTACTGTGAAAGTCTAGACTTTCCTACCATCCATCATGTGGTAATTTAAGTCTTTTCCTTCTTGCTCGGTTCTCATCAGAGCTAAGGAATAATAAGAAACTAAAAGAACGAAGCAGAAAACGCTTTCTGTAACCCTCCACGTTCACACTTTTGGAAAGACAACATGCTTATCTAATTGGTGGTCCACTGACTGAGCAGGTAGATGTGAGGAAGAAGCAGCACTTGGTGGCAATATTCAAACTTCACAGAATTCCTGGGATTATATTTATAAACCTACAGGTGACTTAGTTCCCATTATACTTCAAAACTATTCATGGGTCACAATGTTTATAAAATTACATACAAACTCTTCTTCAGGCACTCAAAGCGCATTTTTACTCCAAGAACACCCTATGCCATTTCAAATGGCCCCACCTTTAACATAATGTGTATGAATCAGAAAAAAAAAATCCTAATTTTATTCAATTTTTCTCTTCTTTGAATGCCCTCTCATCTCTTAAGATACTTACATGGTGCCTTCAATTCCATTTCTTTTTTTTTTTTTTTTTTGTCTTCTACCAAACCTCTTCTCTCCTTCACCTTTGGTCCCAGCCATCCCACAAATTATATACCTCATTGTACACTTGGCAGGGTCTACTACTTTCTACCTAGCAGCCACCCTTCCCTTTTCTTTTTTTTTTTTTTTTTGTCTTCTACCAAACCTCTTCTCTCCTTCACCTTTGGTCCCAGCCATCCCACAAATTATATACCTCATTGTACACTTGGCAGGGTCTACTACTTTCTACCTAGCAGCCACCCTTCCCTTTGCATTCAGTGTGCTACCTAAAACCTGTCTGGAAGCAAGTTTTCAATGTTCAAAAATAACTTTTTATTAATAAATGATATCATATTTACTCTAGACTTCTCAGGATAATTAGAACATGCCTTCATATGTAACATCCACCTATTGGTCCTAGACTTTCTTCCAGTATCTCTATGGAATATGCATTATCCTTCTTTAACAAAACAGCCTATAAAATATTTGAAGCTAAAAACAGTATCAATGTAAGGATACTGTTACAATCCCACAATATAAAGAAGCTCAGGAAGAAAGTGTTATTTCAGTGACTTTTCTAGGAAATCGAATCAAACTAAGATTACAACCCTCTAACCTACTATGATCTCTGTAACACGCCTATCCTCTGCTCTTCTTCTAATCCTGGCATTACCTATCTACTAAGAAATAACAAACATGAAACACAGCAGTAGGGCAAAATTATCATTTTTCCTCTCCTTGCCCATATGAAAAATAATATTTGACCAACACACCAGCATAAACTGGTTTGGATTTGGCGCCTGTTATGACTCTTGGTTAGACAAAAAATTTTATTCTATTTGCTTTATGTAATAATAAGAAAAAAGTATTACAATATATTAAATACTGAATTTGTATGGGTAATCTTTATCAGAATTTTAATGAAATACTAGAGTTGGCTTAATTTACAAAAAGAAACATACAAATGGTGTTAAAATATAATTTTAACTGTGGTAAATTTTTGTATGGTTTGGAAATTCATATATGGTTTGGAAATTCAATAATTCAATGCTGTACAACATTCTTTTGTTTGTTCTTCATTACACATTATTAATTTTAACTGTGGTAAATTTTTGTATGGTTTGGAAAGCAGTTTTATTCCTCAAAACTTTATAATAATTCAACGTTGAGAGTCACATACTTAAACCACTCACACTCGAAAAGCTCTGTTCTAGAAGAGCTTGAGTCCGTATGAAGAAATGGTTGCTTATAGCTCTTCCTTTCTGCTGCCTTCACTTGCCTTCTTTTCTCTTTCTGTCACTATTTCATCCTGACAGTTTTTCACTGACCTATAATTGATCATCTTTTTGCTTCAGAAGCTCCCTCAGGTCTAAAAACACGCTAAGCCACTCATCTTAACACTCTAGTGTCTGGAGAGCAAATCAGAACTGGACAGAAGGAAGTAGGGAGGATAACACTGCATCTAATGGGCAGGGAGTAGGGAAACTGACTGTACGTGCTGTGCCTCTCCCAGGGTAAAAACATGGTGGGGATCTTTAAATGCTGAATGGCTGATGTTAGGTATGTGCCCTTACTCACCATTCTACACCTTTAGAACTTCAGCATTCCCTAGCAAAAGAAAAGATCTATTTAGAAAAGTGCTTTCCAGAGCATTCCCATCTAGCTACTGACCAAGCCATTTTAGTTTATGTGATCAAGCAATTGAAGTTCAAGGAGATCTATCGATAACTGACCGTTCCCAGCAGAACTGGAAGAACACTGCTTGTTACGTATGCTACTAATGTCTGAGATGACTGCTTCTATCTCTACCGCAAAAGCATGGATTGGTTTCAGGAAGAATTAGTAGTCTCTGCATCTCACTGTGAACCGACAGTGTTGCTAAGGAAACTGATAATTATGTGGCAAAATGGAGGGTGTAGAATAGAAAAAGGGTTCAGAAGAAATGTAAGGTTTTGATCCAAATCACCATGTTAATAGTATAGTTTGCTGATCTTCTATAGTCATATAATTTAATAAATACCATTAATTATATGTTTGACAAGATACAAATTTCTAAACTGAAAGAAATGAAAAGCTACTGGTTACTGTTCATACTTTGTATATGTCACAGCAGAAATGTGTATTTATTATAAACTACAATTATTTTAAAGTTAAAAAATTCAAAAAGGTGAAAAAATACACATTGGTTAGAGTTCTGATGTTTTTCTTTAGATATCAATATTATAGTGTTCTAGGTATAAAAGTTATAATTCCACAAAAACTCCAATAAAATTACTCTTTTTGGCCTTATGGATTAAGTTATAAACCCTCAAAACACCCTGTAAGTTAGGGAAGAAAGAAGTATTACTATTTTTATAATATACACAGCAAAATCAACCGAGAGAAGCTGAATTATCTTCTTGAAGTCACCTACCTCCTCAGTTAGTGGTAATACTGGTGCTAAATTCTCCTCTTTCAGCTGCCTGAGAGGCACTGTTTATAAATTATATCCTACTTAGAGAAAACTCCATCAGAAGGATATAAACCTAGTCAATGGATTCAAATTTCTAGATATCGCTTTAATTTTAAATGAAGATTTCCAGTACTTTCCATTTTTAATAGCTAAGAGTTTAGTTCTAAAAGTTAATGATAGGATATAAACACTTGTTTATCAGGAAAAGCTCGTTGCAGACATTTTAGTATGTGAGAAAGATCATCAAAAAACGAAACAGCTCATTATTAATGGTGTTTTACTGCATGTGCAATTGCTGCTGTGAGTTGTCAGTCCTATCATGACAATTCTGCTGTACAGCATTCTTTTGTTTGTTCTTCATTACACTTCATTTCATTTCAATTTTCGAGACAGGGTCTCGCCGTTTCACCCAGGCTAGAGTGCAATGGCACAATCATAGCTCACTGTAACCTTGAACTCTTGGGCTCAAGTGAAGCGATCCTCCTGCCCCAGCTTCCTGAGTAGCTAGGACTAGAGGCGTGTGCCACCATGCCTGGCTAATTTTGCACAACATTCTTTTATTTTCATTTTCCAAAGACTACAATGTATACATTTAAAAAGATGAAACCAAAAGTTTTATATCCTCCTGGGTATTTATCTTTATAAATTCTTATATATTTTCTAATTTATAAATATACTATAGATATTATAATATTCTCACATATTCTTATACACACAATCTATATATGGTGTATGTGTATGAGAACAGAAGTAATTCATTTACGGTTTGTATATAAAAGAAGATGACCATTTACAATAGAAAATGTTTCCAGTGTTTTGGTCTTACTTGATCTTTGACAGGAAGAGACCTGAGAAGAACATATAGAACTGCAAGGTAAAAGTATAAAACTGTACAGAATGTGTCAGCTAAATGAATTCCAAGTACCAGAAGCAGACAGGCTGCCTTCTGATGTTATGAAAAAAAAATCTTTATTCTAGTGATTTAAAAAATTCTAAGCCTTACTCATTAACACAAAAGTAGTACAGCTTATGCTAGATGAGACAGACTACCATTTTTAAGGCAGTTTATTAAGTCTATCAATTTTATGATAGTTTAAAAATAATTACTGGCCTATCATTGGGATTTTGTTAATTCTCTATATTAAAGCATTTATTTTTGATAAGATGTGCTAAAATGATAGACTTATTTTAATAAGCCTTTCTTCTTTTCCACAGTAGGAAGATATTTTCAACTTTTAAATCTCTGAGTCAGAAAAAGAAGAATGTAAGGCCAAATTACAGTCATTAAAAATGATTTTTTGTGGTTAGGTTAAACAAACCTTGGTCTAGGCAATCCTTACCAGTTGTGCGCAGCATTTCCGCATTCCGCAAGTTCTCCTCAATTGAGGGAATTTCACCAAGAGCTGCACTTCGCTCATAGATGTTGTTGTTATTGTTAATTTGAGTTCCACACTGCTTCATTTGCCTGTACAACTCATCTTCGGTATCTCGAATCTAGGAAAAACAAATCCATTCATAAAACTCTGAATTAGCACTCCCCTCCCAGTACCAGGCAAAACCATCTAATTATTTAGTGGCTTTGAGATACTCACCCGTATTTCCAGGGCCTGCATTTCCACATGATGAGCTTTTTCCATATCTTCTAATCTCCTCCTTTCTGCTTCCTGTCTCTTGAAGAAATCGATTTCTCTGAAGAAGATAATAAAATTGATTATATCAAATACTTGATAAATGAGGAAACATGTAAAAGTTCTTATTTGAAACAACCGCACAGTAGAATAAACACTTAGATGATTATTTAAATCAACAAAATTCAATCATAAAGAAAAAGCATATAGTAATGAAAGAAAATCAAATATCTTTAATGAGTCACAAAGTAAAGAAAAATGCTTTGATTTTTCTTATTACGATTTTCATTTCTGGGCCCTGATTGTAGAAAACCTGTACACATTTAGATGGGGGCTATTGCACTAATGACCTGGCTTCAGTAATTTAGTGGAGATAATTATGTGTCAAATAGAAATAATTCCACATTTGCAGTGATATATGCATAGTAAACTGATGGAACTGGATGGTAAGAGTTCAAAAAAGAAAATTATAATAAGATTTCTTTCTATGAACAACAGTAAAGAGGGATCTGGGTGAGTCAGAAATACTAAGGGGAGTATTCACTCATGCACCTAAGGATAATATGGGGAGAAGGAGAAATAGCTCCATTTTGAGAGCCTAGAATAGAATATGCAAATTTAGCAAAATTTAATATAAAATTATTACATGAAAAAGATTTAGGTATGATTATTTAGCAAAAAGAGTTAAAAACAGCGATGTATTGAATTTATGGTCACAAAGCAACAACCCCTTTTTTGACAATAAAATTTTGATAGCAATCTCTTTTAAACATTAAAAGCATTCTTTCCATAATAGGAAATAACAGAGATGTTGTGAATCTTACATATTTGCTTAGCTTCTTAGGCTTAGTAAGGAAGACCAGAAAAGGTAGTGGAACTACTTTTTCAGTCTAGTTAGCTAGAAGTAACTGATGGAAAAATCTAGTAAAAATCTTCCCGATGGGTCTCCCTGACATTACAATGAGATCCAACAGATGGAAGCAAAGCAGCAGTGGCTCAGAAAGAGCTGCTGAAATCCAAAAGCAGAGTGTGGTGATGGTCTCTGTCACTACAGTGAACTGAGGCCCTGGTAATTCTCTCAACAGCTGAGAAATGCAGAGTGGAAGGGCAGCGGCTCTTGCTAGTCAATATTTACACTGTCTGGAGTGGGCAAATTCTGCAGTTACTGATTCTTCCACTATAGACAGGAGCAGTCTGATCTAGGCCCCAACGGCTGCTTTGCATGTGCCATATCAACAGTCAGTCATTCTGCATGACTTCAGCTGAGCTTCTTGCTTCTAAATCACAGAGATGTTTCAAAGATGATAAAGAAATTCAGATGATTTAACAGTTAGTATCAATAACTATCAAAAAAATGAAGAGGCCCTGGTTGCCAAAAAAATTGTAAAATATACAAAGCATAATCTCATGAAAAAATGGTAAAAGCAATTTCTAAAACTTAATGTGTATTTATGCTGTTAACTATGCTTTGGAGAAGTTGACAACTCTGAGGTCATCTTTTCTTTTCCACTAGATATTACAAAAATATTGGATGTAAACCTTCTTCAGACACACATAACTATTCTACAGTCATCACAAGCTGCTTACTTTTGCTGGAATTCCTTGATCAGTTTCTTTGCCTTGTTGTATTTCTTCTCCAAGGCTTGATACTGGTTTTGAGTCTCTTTGAGATGCTCGTTGACACTGTGGCATAAGCTTTGAGCCTCAATCCAGTAGCTCTCCAGGTTCAGCATTTTTTCTTTGTTGTCTGCAATGTTCTGCTGCAGCCGGGCTTTCTCTAGTTCCCATCTCATTTTCTCAGTTTCTACTACATGTAGCTGGAGAAAGCAAATGTCAAGGTAAAAATAATTGGGTACTTCTATAGTAAAAAATCTCTCATATTTTTATAGCATGTTTTAGACTAAATACTATTATTATATATACTCAATCATCAAAACACCTTGAAATGAGAAAAGAAAGTATTATTTTCATAATTTCATAGATGACAAAATGGAGGACTTGAAAAGCGAAATGATCTGCCCAAGGTCACATATCTGATAAATGGGAAAACACAAACTAGATTCCAACTCTCATGATCCTTCCATCACTCCACATGGTATGATCTGGGAGCAGTTATGGATGTTCCAGAGTTTGAGTGATTATAGCCAATGAATGTTTTGAGAGTTTTTTAAAATGCATAATTATATGTAAAAAATTAACCAAAAAGGGAGTCAGGAGAGGCAGGAAGGAAGGGAGAAAGGCATGAAAACATAGTATGGGCTCATGGTGACGAAGGGGACTCTGGAGTTATTCAGCTTAGATTTGAATCCTAGTTCTGCCATGATTGGCCATGAAAACTTAGGCAAGTAATTGAAGTTCTCCAGATTCGATTATATCATTTATATAACACATTAGTATGCTTGAAATAGCTCCTAGGGCATAATAATCATCTGATAAACATTAGCTATTTTTACTTTGCTTTTGATCCTTTTGATAATATTATTATGTTCTTAATTTTAATTGACATGAGCATAGTCTGTAGCTCATATTTTACACGCAGTATAATGAATTTCTTGAGCCTTATAAACCCCAATTCCCATAAAAGTATAAAAGATAGTAGAAGTAAAAATATAAATTGTCCCTTGATTACTTTAATTCCTTCTCATGAAACAGAAAGGCAGGTTTATGTCATTTCTGCTTCCAGGGAATCTTAGGAATAGATACCACACTAGTATAATACCCTCATTTCTACAGAAATTCAAGACTGGTCCTTTAGGTGAAGGCTCAAAAGTCATTCCCGATAATTGGCCTTCAAATTAGTGCTTTATCTACTTCATATGCCTTCTTTAAAATTCAAAAGGATGCAGAGTCATTACAAACTATCAATGTTCAAAATCATACAGCATTCAGCAAATGAAAATGTATATTTATGTAAACATATATACACACACATGCTTTGTGTATATTTTTAACTAAGCACATCTGCAAAACAGATTACAAAGTAAAAAGGTGGCCAAAAACATTTCAAAATTATCAAAATGCATATTAAAAATCATAGTAAAGTAAGCTAACCTGTGCATATTATATGCCAGTGTAATAATGAGAAAATCCAAAATACTAATTTATAGTATTTTCTAAATAAAATGTTCATAGTCTAACACATAAGCTCCATTAAAGCACTTAAAATCGCAGGGAAATCATTTTCCCCCAACTGTAACCAACAATTTAAAAAAATCTTCTCCCTTTCTATGTCAAGAAACAACAACCATTTAAAACAGGACTAGGTTTTTTCCTGTGTCTTTTATTAAGCAGTGTTTTGCATCAAGTTGTTTATTTACCAACCATTACTAATTTTAAAATTATTATTCAGGGAGCTGGGCTGACACCATGAATGATGTACAGACATATTTTGACTAAAGAGCTACAGAGTGAATTAGCTGAGAATACCATTTAACCAAAATAGCCTTGTTAATTCATCTCCATTTAAAACACATGGAGAAACCAAAACAAGCATTTGATGTGAACAGGAAAACAGATCTTTAGTGGTGGGGAAGTAAATATTGTCTTAATATTAAAAAGACCATAGAAACAATAAAGTATATTGTTTTAAAATTAATTCAAAAGATATCTTTAAATTTTTTAAATTACATACTTGATAAAACTAAACACAATTGCTAGAACTGTGTCTCATACAAGTACCTTATAATTTATCAAAAATGTCCTCTTGAATCTTCTATTTTTTCATAAATAGACTAATAACACATAACTCTTTTATCAAGACCTTTTCTCCCCCACAAATTTAAATAATGTGAAATAAACTTGTCTAAGATTTCCAGTAGTACCTGGCACCTGATACCAATTATGCATGTATAATATTAAGCTCATAAAACTTAATTATTAGAAACAGGATATTATTTCTATAAAAAAATTAATATGCTGTATTAAAACAATACACAGTTCCTGATGAATATGATACAATTGACTGATTAAATCTATATTGTACTCTGGTTTCTCTTCAAATCGTATAAATCTTTCACCTTTTAAATCTATTTATAACGAAGGAGAAATGACATAATAGCTTGTGTTTAAGGAATTAGTGATCAAAATATACTTTGGATGCTTAAATCATTAAAAATATTATTTTTTGAGGAAATCTCAGAGAGAACTGGCTATATATGTGCAAATACAAAAATATGTACATTTAAAATATCATGTTATTTGCACTGAGGGGGGATGTGGGTGTTTGCTTTCATTGGCAGGTTTGTCTATGTATCTGACAGTGAAAATGGATCTTTCACAGTTATATTCTTTCAAATGCACAGGGACAAGTCCTTTAGTCCTGGGGTTGAATTTATCCATAGTATCGGAAGTTTAAAAAGTACAATTCAAACACCATGTATTGGTGCTTACCTTGGTCTTCAGCTTATGAATCTCTGCTTCGGTAACTGCATGTTTGATCTGCAACTGAAAATTGAAAAGAAAGAAAAAATCTAAACTAAGTGAGTGCCTCTATATTTTTAAAGCCTTAGCAGCTAGGAGAATACCTATTACATAGTAAACGGCCTAGAAAGTGCTCCAATGCAGCAGATTGTAAATTAAAACGCCTAGTGTGTAAAATGACACTGGGTGCAAACTAATTAAACACAGGTTTATGGTCCACACTCCCTGACATCAGATTAGGTTACCAACTTAATTGCTCAGGGACCAAAGAGAAGAAACACCTTTTCTTGCCCTCTTTGAAGCTCTTCCTTTATGATTTAAGTATCAAGGAACTGTTTGCTTGCTGAGTCTGGCCGATTGAAAGGCACAAGCAAAGCAATTGAGCTGGTGGCAGTGTGGAGATTTAATTCCAAGTCTGGGAGAAAGGTGGCGCTATGGCTCTGCGAGTCGCAGGCACATTCCGCAGAGCAACTCGGCTGCAAAGGAGAGGGGGAGGATGCAGTTCCACAGCGAAATCTGATTTTTTTTTTTTTTTAACTGTAGGAAAGGTACAGATCCAGATGTCTGTCCTCCAAAAGATCTACTCGTATTGAAAACTCAGACCCCCAAAAGCTTCTGCTACAGCTTATTAGCATAACAGTGACCATTTACCTTTGTTTTGCTTCTCCCCTCCCCCCACTTTGCTGTCTTTGTAAGGGAAGAATAATGAATGAATCATTTATTTCTTTGAAGGACCAATAAATACCCTCAAATTTAAGGAAAACAATTTATGAGTTCACAATTTCTTGTCTGAAATCCTTGGGGGTCAGATGTTTTCGGAATTCAGAACTCTTCCAATTTCAGAAAGGTAATAAGATGAATCTTTCATAAATTGCATATTACCCACAGCAGGGTCTGTGGAGGCAAACTCCGTAATCAAACACATGAATATTTTTGCCACCAAACATATGAAAATTCCCACTAAGTGAGGTAAATAGAGACTGTAAATAGCATCTTGTAAGTTTCAGTGAGGTTGTACCACTAAATTAGTTTGCCACAAACTTACAAAAGAGACTGTTTTGGAGCATTTTGGATTTAGGACTGCACATGGGGGACTGTAAACTTTTACTATTGCCATAATCAAGTAAGTCTAAGAGATTTTCCTATCAGAAAGAGGGAGTGAGTCTGTTGACAGAAGGATAGAAATGTAGAGAGAGTTCTCAGACTAGCAATGTGATCCTCAGCTCTCTCTTGGGTTCGCAACCTGTCTTCCCTTGTTTTTTACTCAGCTGGTGGGAGCACGTGGGAAGGATGATAAGGGAAAGGTGGAAGAATCAAGGATAGGTCAATTCAACACCCTTGGATGCCAATGGTGAACAGCCCAGAACCTGTGGGTCCCCAAGTTCCCTGCAAAGTGCTCCCTCCTGCGATGATGCATGTGGTCCCTGCTCTGCACTGCCACAGCCCCGCTACTGCTCTTGGTCCTGAGGGGTGCTCTTGAAGCTGTTTTCAATCTGATTCTGCCCCACTCACATCGCTTATCTTCCTTTCACTCTTTCTGACCTGGTCACGCTGGCTGACTTACTGATGTGGCTACTGCTTCTTTCACCCTCACTGGTTCCTAGGAGCATCTGCAGTCTAATGGTCTTTACAGTGGAGACCATGCTCTGTGTGAGAATATTTTTATGAAGCCCAAAACAGCCAGTCCTGGCTCTCTTGGTTTCTGACCACACCACTACTGGTACAACTCTTACTTTCCCACTTTTAGCAGATGCTTAGGGTATTAGTGTGCCTGGTGAGGAATCCAATCAGCAAGCTTTCTCAGTGACTAGACTAGAAAAAGATATGACAGACATAGCAGTGCTGCTCATAAAACCCAGCAACTCCCTTCCTCTTGCTGTTGAGATCTGTCTCACTCGAAGTCCTAATCTGGACAGATCTTTTGGGAGCCTGACACCACCAGGCAATTCAGCTGTGTAGGCTCAAATGTCCAGTTGATACTCCAACTCTGGGCCCTACAGTGAACACACTACTGTGGAATCAGGGATCCTTACACTTCTGGACTCACTTTAGACATGGGAAAACTAAGGCTCAGAGAAGATACTTGACTTGGTCTAGTCCTAATAATGGATCCACCATTAAAACCAGCACTAAAATCTGGATCTTCTGGTTCCAATCAAGTGCCATTTTCCTTAGAAAATAAGGATTAGCTCAACAGGCATTTCTTTGTTGTTTTCATTTTTACTTTTTAGAGATTGGGTCTTGCTCTGCCACCCAGGCTAGAGTGCAGTGGCCCGATCATAGTTCACTGTAACTTTTAACTCCGGGCTCAAGTGATCCTCCTGCCTCAGCCTCCTGAGTAGCTGGGACTGTAGGCATGTACCACCATGCCCACTTAACTTTTAAAATTTATTTTTGTAGAGATGAGGGTCTCTCTATGTTGCTCAGGCTGGTCTTGAACTCCTGGCCTCAGGCTTCCCTCTTAGTCTCCTGGATTATGGGCGTGAGCCACTGTGCATTTATTGGAGAGTTGCTATGTGCATGACACTGTGACCATAACCCTTTCTCCCTCTAATAAATGTTACAGCAAACCTCCCCTAGCAATATAAAATAATAAAATTAAAAAGGCAAAGAGTACTTTGATATTAGATGTATTATTTATATATAAATTTATAAATACATGTATATACACATACATGTATAATATATGGCTGCATGCTAGGGCATCCAGCAAATTCACAAGCCTAGATGATTTTGGAGTACTACAATTATTAATGACAGGATCTACTCCTTGTGGTTTCCACCATGTGACAAGTGTGAAGAATAGTTAAGTTAGACTGTGTGAATTTATTTCAGACATACCATGTACTCTATGCAGTGTTAGAAAATTATTTAACTTCTCTTACATTCACTTTTCTCAACTGTAAAATTCAGTTCCTTATAAGTCATAAGCTTCCTTATTGGATGGTTAAATTATATAACCCACGTAAAGCCTTTTGCACAGTGGCTAGCATGGAACAATAAAGTCAGCCAGGACCAAGAATGACCTGAAGAACTCAAATATGATTACCCCAACTCCACCTCACAGTTAAAAGTGCTAAATGCTGTAAAATGTCACACCTGAAATAAAATAAACACCTCTCCTTCTATTTAAAGAGTAGCAAGAAATCAAAAGGGCAGATTTCACACTGAACACTGCACTATGGGCAAGTGCCAGACTTTATTTTATTTTATTAACTCCCGGCAGGGCAACCAAGTAAATAGTGTACAACTTGTTGGGACTTTGGACTTTCTTTGCTCAGATCACTTTGACTTCTGTAAGTTGCTTCTCTGAGCCTCAGTTTCAAATATGAAAAATGAAAGGGCTGAATAGGAAGAACTCCAAAGCCCTTGTACATACTACATATGTGACATTTGTGAAACAAACAACCTGGAGGTACTTATCAAGGTTGTAGAGCTTAGAAATTCTTATCTCAAGCTAGTATTTTCATTCTTATGAATGTATACCCTAGATTAATCCACCAATATTTGGGACAAATCTAGGTAAAACTGTGAAATAGCCCATGTTGATCTATTCCACACTTCCCATCTCACCAAAATGGAAAATAGAGGGAAGCGGAACTCATTAGCAGGTAGGGTAGGTAACAACTGATAAAAGCTTGGAGTGTTACTAAGTACAGCTAAATTCTTGACATATAGGAAAGCAGAATGAATTGTAAAAATTCAGACATTATTCAGAATGGAAAGGTTTTCTTAGTACTTACAAGGCCTAAAATTATAGATATGCAATTATTTTAATTCTAATTACACATTAAGATAATTTCTACAAATCCATCATTATTGACCAAAAAAGCATCAAAAATACACTAAGTGAGCCCTTTCATTTTATATAGTAAGAAACTGTGTCCAGTGAGCTTAAGCTGCAGGACTAATAGGTGTCAAAGCCAAGTTTTAGAAATCCTATCCGATGGTTCCCCTAATACTAAATTTCTTACATTTGTGGGCTCCTTTATCTTTTTTTTATTATCTCTCTTGATCATTGCAAATGACGGGGAGGGAGGCAAGACAGGTGCTGTTAACCTCACTGCTCAGATGAGAAAAGAAGCTCAGGGAAGTCACACAGCTTCTTCAAGTTTCCCCTAGAAGTAGGTGGTGGAGCGGAAACAATCCCAGGTCTGACTCCCTGTTGCTCCATTCATCACGTATCTAACTGAACCACTTGCTTGGGATATATTTCTCATTTAATCTTCACAAAACCCCCGAGGCATATGTCATCACCGTCACCTCTCCGTTGAGAAGTTATTACTCCAATTGGACAGCATGGATTACTTCTGGCAGTCTCTGAGTATTCCGACACGGAATACAAAATGGTGCTCAATCGGCTGCTATCATTATAAATGGAACTTAGAAAGAACATCTCCCTCATTATTCAACCTGCATTAGGTAACAAGACTACGTGCCAAGTACTATGCTAGTCACTGAGGATATATGAACATGACATGGAATCCACCTCCAATATACTTACTTCAGGGAGATTAATAAATATGATTTCATGAGAGAAATTCTCCAGATAACGCTGAGGTAAAAGTCAAAGGGAGCCTGCTCCTAGATTGCTTGATTAGTCTTTTACTTCTATAACCACAGCAGAAGACCATTGGCTTTGATCTGTTTGTCCAACAGAGGACCTTCCCTTCCAGGCACTGGGAGCACGACCGAAGTTAATAGTGCTTTTCAAAGGGTGAAGGAACTTAACAAAAGAAGCATAGTTGGCAAAAGGTCGAGTTTTCTTATTCTAGAGCAGTTCTCTTTTCACATGTTTAAGAGATTTATGTCAAGAATCAATAACCTTTTCAAAGTACAGATCCAAGGGTTTGCAAGAATAGTCAGGCTGATTGACTGCAGGGAGAGGAGGTCAATAGGGCTGGGTAAGAGAAATAGAGCCTGAAATGCCTGTTGGAACCTTTGGGATTCAGAGAATCTAGGTTTGGAGAAAAGGCTTGGGATGAGGGGTCATAAATAAAAAGAAAAGATTAAAGATTGTAGGT